AAAAAAAAAAAAAAAGAGCTGAAGGACTACTATTTTTGCAACCTTTGACACCAAATTTGCAATAAAATCAATCTTGTATGACTAAATTTGCAATTTCATCATTTTCAAATTAACGGCTAATGGCGCACGCAACACGCAACAACCCCGTCAAGTTTGACGGGGCTAGAATTAATTTTGCAACAAAAAATAAAAGAAAAAAAGACTAATTTTGCAGGACCAATGTTGCAATAGGCTCAATCTTACAAGACCAAATTTGCAATTTCATTGTGAAGTATGCTTCTTATAGTTGTGGATAGGGCTGCAAATGAGTCGAGCGGCTCACGAGCCGCTCGCGAGCGCTCGAGTCAAAACTCGGCTCAAGCTCGAATTTGACTGAACTCTAGTCGAGTTCGAGCTTATATTTTGCCTTGTCGAGCAGCTCGTCGAGCGGCTCGAGATATACGTTAATGACTAAAATTATAGTGAGGTCAAGAACCGAACTACATTAGGGTTTAAGGATAATTGAACTGCGCAAAAAAACACTACCCACCAAAATCCCCTGAAAACTGGAAAACCCATCCAAGAACACAAGAATGAAATTGCAATCTGCCTGCGTTTCCCTTCAAGATTTTCCTCCGCCCACCCGCTATTCACCTCCTCGACTTCACACTGTGAGTTCAGATTCTTTCCTCGTCCTGTTCGACAGCTTCAAATGTGTTTATGCAAAAAGATCAATTCTTATTTTTTTATTTTAATTATTTAGGTCAGCAATCGTTATGGAAATCATACTGGCATGGTTAGACAGCTGCCCAGATTCAAAACTGAGCTGAAATGTAAGTTTTTGCTGAGTCTTATCCTTTATCCCTGTTCAAGTTCATCATGTGCGAGTTTTTTTCGTTTTTCTTATCCGTTTCTTGTATTTTTTCACCCCCTTTTGCTGCACCTTTTATCCAGCTCTTGCCCCATTTGCTAGAAATGGAGTTGCTTTACGTGTGGGTTCGCATAAGAAACTCGGTTTTCGGGTTGATGCGAGTAAATGGCCGGAGCCATTTAAGGGAAAACCGGGATATGTTTCCTTTGGTGGCCTGAGCCACCGGTCGATTGAGGAAAGCAGATTGGTGTCGGCACCTTTCAAAGAAGAGAATGGCTCATTTCTGTGGGTTTTGGCCCCTGCTGTCTTAATCTCAGCCTTAATTGTTCCTCAGTTTTTCATGTTCACTGCTATTGAGAATGCTTTCAGGAATGAGGTTTTTGCAGGTATATGCTTTTGCTTCCCTTGGTGTAGGTCTTGTTAAGGTTGGGATATATGTTGATATTCATCGTTTGGTAGTAGGTTTTGCAGTGTTTAAAACTTGCTGTGAGGTGATCTGCTTAATCTTTAAGGTTGGAATAATTCGTTAAAGATGATGAATTTGATGTGGCACTAGGATTCTTGATCTTTCTTTCTTTTTTTGAATAAATTGATTAATCTTTTGGTGGTTGCATTTGAATATGCCTTTATTAAAGTGATTATTCATACAAATATACACATACTTTCAAATTGAAATGTCATACTCCAAAAGACAACATAAGCCTAAGTATGGCATTTCATAGCATAAGCATTCATTTTTATCAAGAAAGTGTGACGGATCGACCCAACTAATGGTTAGGCCATCTCATACGATAATTTGTGATATGTTTTTGCTCCAATATAGTCGTTTTATGTATATTTATTTTATTAAGAAGCTATCTCACCTCGGTTTCTTAATGAACTTCAGCTTACTGAAACATGAGGATGATCTTAAATTTCAATACATTATATTATAGGACACTTTTTGAGTGAGTCTTTCTGCATAGTATGAAACATTGTTTTCTTTTTCTTTTTTAACACTATCTCTCTTTCCCTCTTCCTTTGTGCTACTTATTAGTTGACATATTATTTTCAAGCGATCAATAACTACTTTTATTTTGTGAATTTCGGTGCAGAAATCCTCTCAATTTTTTCATGTGAGGCAATGTTTTATGCTGGAGTTGCTGTGTTTCTGTTCATTACCGAGCGTGTCCAAAAACCTTATCTTGAGTTCAGCCCAAGGAGATGGAATCTTATCACGGGCCTTAGAGGATATTTGATATCCTCTGTCTTCATAATGGGCCTCAAGGTTTTCGCCCCGATATTGGCTGTTTATGTCACCTGGCCCGTGCTCGGGTTCCCTGCACTTGTTTCAGTTGCTCCTTTCTTGACCAGCTGTTTAGCTCAATATTTATTCGAGAAACATCTCAAGAGGAACGGGTCATCCTGTTGGCCCATTTTGCCGATTGTCTTTGAGGTAAAAATGAAACACACTGCAAAAGCTGATTGCTTATTTTTCACCATTTCATGTGAAAATCCAATAGAATGCTTAGAGATTTGGCTTTCATGTATATGTATGTATGTAATATATATATATATATATATATATA